ATATATAATTGTCAGTGAAGAAACAAGTGGCTGAATGAGACTTCGTAACCCAAGGAGTTATGCAAACCTATCGAGATGATAATTTTCACTGAAGGAGTTTGGAGAGACAAACTTTTTCTTTTAACAGGAAAGCTTGACTTCTCGCTAAATGTTCATACTTCAAATCAAGGCTGAATGAAATTTGTCTATTTATTTTTTTGAGATTTGCGATCGTCAAAGTTTCGCTAAAATTTCCTCATAGCTCACATATTCGGTGCATGAGATTCTCATCATCCTTCTGTAGAACTACATTTATGTTGCCTCAAGTCTCTTCTCTATTTGTGCGGAGATATTCCAGCATTTACTGCCATATAGGAGGTATGATATTACATAACTGCGCACTATTCTTTTCTTTGTTTCTTTATTTTAAAACAAAATATTCCTGTTACTTTATACTTTGCTTATCTTTTGGAAGGGATTTTACTTATCTCAATGAATCTTCAGATTTCAGTGCCTCACGTTTAGTCTTCTGTTAAAATACTTCCTAGATATGTAATTTTTTTGTAGTTGCTTTATTTTTGTATCTCCAGTTTGTTGGGGTCTTCATTTTTGCTGATAATACATTCCTTAGAATATCTTAAATTCAAAATTAATTTTTAATGCATTAATCTGCTTCGTACCTGTGTCGATTAATATTAAAATTAAATTTTACGGTTTTGCTATTTGGATTTTATGTCAAATAAATTTAATAAGCTCCTCTCGGGGTTCACAACGATGAAATACCCTTGGAAATACCCATATTCCATCTTTAAATATTTCATCTTAAACAACATTTCACAATAGCAATCATAAGTATGAATGAAGGTCATTTTCTTAAAGAAGTAAGAGGGTACAAATGAAAAGATTTGAAATAAATTTTAACAATCTATTTCAATAACAATGTGACATCCCCCGGTGTCGCTGCGCCAAATGTGACGTCTGCCTGGCCGCGCCCGCCGTGCTGTCCTAGTCACGGCGCCAATTGTGACGTCACCCCGTCTGTCCACGCGCCGTCGCCGTCCTATCCTGTCCCGCGTCGACCAATGTGACTTGGTATTGGTCGCGGCACCAAATGTGACGTTCTAACCTTTTGCTGATTCGGATGGGAATCTGGTTAGATTCGGTATCAGCCTTGTCGTTCCCAGCTCGCCTCCAACGTCTGGTTACCGAAGTAACTGTTTTGATTTCTAGTCTAACCTACCTACGTTGTGATTTGATCTTAGGTAGACGAAATCAATAAGTCGCCGGGCCGTAATGCAAGCTGAGTCCGGACATGTGTAAAACCGCACAAGTATATGTAAAAGAAAATGAAGTAATGACTCGAAAAGTTCAAATATGTTAAAAAAGGATAACAATATTTTATATCTGGTTTCTGAATACAGGACTGCATCTTCTTCCCAACCCACTATATGGATTCGTGACACTTTGTGTTTGTTAGGCGAGTCTTAACATCTTAAGTTGTTTGTTCTTTAAGAAACTGGTTCTTGGTGTATCTTCAGGCGATATTCATAAAACTTGTTTTGGTGGTGTGAGTCTAAGTCGTTCTTCAAAAATAAATTGTTCTTGGTTAGAAGGTGAGGTCGTGATTTGCGTGGAATCTTTCAGTCGGGTTCCTGCGAGGCTGGTCTCACTCTGCAACTCCAACCCAACTGCGAACTTCGAACTGCCAACTTACTCGTTGCGACTCTTATATGGACGCCGACCAAAACCGGGGTGGGCTTATCGGGGTTTGAGGTTTCTTGGTAATTCTAAATCCACAATCCACTTCTTTGTTTTCGGTCAGGAAAATTTATTATTTTCCAATTTTGGAAGTCCTTCCAGATTCTTCCTTTTTCATATGGGTATCTCACTCAATTCCTTCAGGGGCGTCAACAGGTTTCCCCTCTCTCTCACAGTGGCATCTCACACAGATTCCTTCAGGGGGGCACTAACAGGCCCCCGTCCTTCTTCACATGATTATCTCCGCCTAACGCTCACGCCACCATCCAGCCAATGGGCGCTCAGCGGCGTGGGTGTGGCCGGACTAGCCTCGGTTTAAAAATTCTTGCTCAAGGAAAAAAAATTATCTTCCTTTTTCTTTTTCGTTTCTTTCTTTTTCTTCTTCTCGGCAACAACCCAATACGACCCGTAGTGTGGTCTCTTAATCTCAGTTTTATCCTGAATGTCACCTGGAATTCGTCACTCGGAACCTTCGCCAAACAAGTGGGTGGTCATCCAGCGATATCGCACCTTGGTGCCAATTATTCGTTCTGATAAAATAATTTTGCTATCATAGCCAGCTCCTGACAATAAACAGGTGCCTTTTCCAAACGACATCTCCGTAGATAGCTAATGATTTAATCTTTTGTTTTTGTAATTCTGCGGTTGGTCCAATGGACATTTTTCCGCGACCCAATTAATTTTTATCTCTTTAGAATTCTGCCCTGTAGGTCACCTGACCGACCTGAAATTTTCACCATTCGGTGCGCCGTCATAAATCAAACGTGACAGATGCGCGACCTTACTTTCTTCGCTAATGAAAATAAAATCTTTCCACTTTTCTTTGTTAAAAAAAAAAAATAACATCGCTTAGTGTCCTGTTCGTGATTGCTTCTTATCACCTAAATTTAATTCTCGCCTTTTCTTTTTTTTTTTCTTTCTTTCTAACAACACTAAATAGTGTCACAACAAGTCATTATCTAAAAAAAGAGGGCACAAATGAAAAGATTTAAAATTGACCAGTTTTCCATTTCACTGAAGTTGATGCTAAAAACATGAGAGCATTATCGCCGATTCTTTTTTTTCTTTTTCGTGGTAAAACCAAATAGCGTCTCATGTATGTCTTTTTTGTTTTTCCGCGCCAACAAAATGCAGCAGTTCATTATATTTTAAGTATTGTCAGTGCGTAGATTAAGTGCTGAGTAACGGACTAGCTATCTACCTAACTCATAAACTAAGGAAAATCAAATGTTTCAAATCCTTGATATAAGCCATGAAGTCGAAATATCATACAACACAACAAGAAATTTTGCTACCTCACATGGAAAAAAGACCTGGTACCATATTCAATCTTCCATTTACTTGTACACTAAAATACTAAGTTTGGTAAATAGAAAGAAGAATTAATCTTTAATGTTGCTTATATATTGAAGGTTAATGATTTTGGATGTACAGAGCAGAATAATGACAATCACTTTAATCTTGAAGTTAGTGGGTTTGTCCATCAAATAATACCCTATTAGATGTCTTACTATGTTTCTCCCTAGATATCTTACGCGCACTAGTTGACCGATTAGGTTTACACTGCATGTCTTTCAAGTTTCATCAGCAGATGTCCAGACAGATATCTCACTATAAGCCCCGCTATACACCTTAATAGTTATCTCTCTAGTTGCTCCATTAGATTTTCACTAGAGATCCGTCCGATTCCTCAGCAAACATCCAGTTATATACCTCATTAGATGCCCCGTTAGATGCCATATCTGCACTAGCTGTCCCATTAGACTCTCACAGGGTGACCCGTTGGATTTCTCAGAAAATATCCAGCTATATACCTCATTAGATGCCCCGTTAGATGCCATGTGAGCACCAACTGTCCCATTAGACATTCACTAGATGTCCGCTAGATTCCTCAGGAAATATCCAGCTATATACCTCATTAGATGCCGCGTTAGATGTCATATGTGCACTAACTGTCCCATTAGTCTTTCACTAGATACTCTGCTAGATTCCTCAGTAGATGTCCAGCTACATATTTTACTAGAAACCTTATTCTATGCCTTACTAAATTAGATTTTCCCTAGACGTCTGCTAGATTCCTCAGCAAATATCCTACTAAACTGTCTATAAGTTACCTCACTAGATACCTCACTAGTTGCCCATTAGATTGTCACTAGATACCCGCTGTATTTTTTAGCAAATATCCAGCTAAATAAATTACAAGATAACCTGCTATGTGCCATACTAGATATCTTTCTAGTAACCCCATTAGATTTTCACTAGATGTTCGTTAGATTCTTCAGCAGATATCCAGCTAGATGCATCACCAGATGCCTCGCTAGATTAATAGACATCTCTCTAGTTACCCAATTATATTTTCGTTAGATGACCCCTATGTCCCCCAGTAGATGTCCAGCTAGATACCTAACTAGCTGCCTGCTAGATTCCTTACTAAATGTCTCTCTGGACGTCCCATTAGATTTTCATTAAATGTCCGCTAGATTCCTCAGTATATGCCCAGCTAGATACCTCACTAGAAAAGGCACACTATAACTTACTAGATGTCTGACTTGACGCCTTACTAGATACCTCACATTTACCTCAGTAGATTACCGGCTATAGATCTCATCAGATACTCCGCTAGATGACTGACTAGATTATCTCTTAGATACGTCACTAGATGCCCAAGAAGATACCTTACTGAAATTCATCACTCGATTTCCCGCTAGATATCTTACAAGTGCTCAGTACACGAATGTATATTCCTTTTATGTTTGTACTAGAAATCTAATTTAACTACAATACACATGTTAACTAATATCACACAATAATCTGGATAATCTCAAATATGAATACTTTCCAATCGTGATTGTGGATTCTTGTTTTTTTATTAAATCAATATATCGTTATATGTGTATGCTTGCTCGCGTCTGAACATAAAACCTTTTAGTCTTTGTACAAAAATGTATATTATTATTTTATGGCAGATATAAGTATATTGGTATCAATCCAAAAGTGGGTGCGTTTGTTTTCATACCAGTACAGGTGTTCTCAATTTGCTTTCTGCATATTTAATTAGCTTAGCTAAGTCTGGTACAAGACTGTCCTGGATCGACCCATAATCTGTCTCATGTTAGCAAGGTGCGTATCCTAACTATCATACTGGGTGGCCTAGATTTTAGCCTGGCACACGGCCAATTTTAAGAGGAATATATAATACTAAAAGGCGTTTTTAAATATTCGCCTTCATCGCTTCAGAATATAGTCAGCATTACGTCCTAATCACGTTGAAACACCGGTTCCCGTACTATCACCGAAGTTAAGCAATGTCTAGTCTCATTAGTATTTAGGTGGATAACCGTTTAGGAATACCAGGTGCTGTAAGCTTGGATGTGCAGGTTGTGTAATAGATAATGGCTAGGAATTGTTAATCGGAGAGCCAAATTCCAATTCCCGTAAATATTCACTCATGCGCAAATACTCTTAGCGAAAGGTATAATCTACTTCTTCACCCCACCCCCAGATATGGATTGATTAGTAAGTTTTGTATCACTAAACTATTATTGTGTCAAAAAAATTCTTACAATCTAAAAAATATTTTCTGGCTTTAAACAACCTGCAAAGGGTTAATAAGTCATAAAAATGAATCAATCGATCAATCAAGATATAGTCGTTGATAGAGATCATATCAGTCTGCTACACTTTACCATTTTTGCTCTTCGGAAGATAATGGAGTGCTTTTCCTTTGCCTTTTCCAGAGTTTAGAATTTAAAGTTGGTTTGGGGAAAAGATATGGATTCAAGCTTATTCTCAAAGATAAAAAACGACCTCAAGTGAAACTCATATTTACAATGCATCGCTAAAGATGCTAGTAAAACGGTCGGTGTTTTGTGCTGCTCCAGAAGGTAACTTATTCCTATTGCTACTCTCTATCATTACAAGAGATAGATCAGACGAAAATGGAGTATTGCTGCTCTGTCTTCACCTTCTATCCTCGATCGAGCTTAAAATATCTACGCGACACTGTAGAGGATGAATGATTTCCCACTCCTCAACTCCTTATCCCACAGACGGAATGTTACAAGTTTATCGCTATTTCCCGCGCAAATGTGCTGGCGAAGGACTTATGAAAGTTTCTTTAGTTCAGGCCTACATTGCTAAGACCGACCATGTACACTGGGATGAATTATTCTGATTCATTTAGTATTCCACTAGTAAGGAAGAATTTCTACTGCTATTTTTGTCGAACAGACTCCAAAGAGGATGCATAACTGATCGCTACAATTTTAATATTTAAAGTCTGCTGTTATCTTTCCTACGTATCGCCGTGCAAATACCCTTGGGAAAAGGTATGACTTTATCTTCTCCTAGCTGCTATGTGTAAATAATGGGATTGTTAAAATCATTATTATTTCAAAAACATTTTAAATGCAATATCCACTCGCAGAAACAGAATTACTCTTACAATCAAACTTAGCTTTCGGCTTTAATGTATTGACTATCAATCACGAGGTAACTCGTGGTTGGCGGTTTTTATTACGACTTCGACTACGAGTTATCTCGTGCTAACAACTAGCTTTCTTAGTATTTTCTAATAAATTATCTTCAGCAAGCGACAACGAGTTTTTTCGCAGTGATAATTTTGATTGTTGGTTGAGTTTGTTTAGAGGCATATCAATACTTCTATAGATTATTTAATGTCGAAATCTAAATATTTTGAACGCAACCCAGGCCTTCAATCACAGGCAAAATATGTTTTTGGTAATTTTCCTATAAGTAGGTATTGTTGATAATTCTATTTGTTGTGGCCAGAAATAAAGACACAAGAGATGATTTGAGTTTAAAATATATATATATATATATATATATATATATATATATATATATATATATATATATATATATATATTAACAGAAACAGTAATACAACCATATACAAACGACTGCTGGAAACTTCCCTGTCCAAAAAGCAGTATCTGCTCGTATTTATAGCTGGGAGAGTCCATGCGTACGTGGGTAAATTGCTATAACACTATTATAAATATGTCCCGACCACGAATCACGTAATTCGAGTCGTAGGTGCACATGTTCTGCAGCCGTAGTAGAGGTGATGTGACTTGGGCAAGATAGTCTGACAGAGCCCAACACTCTCCAGGCTGGTTTGAATTCAGTTTTATTTCCCCAAGACCAGTTGCCATCCAAGTCTATAGAACGTAGTCTGTTCTGCAAATTTTCCCATAGTTGGTCGAGAGAAAAGATGGCGACAAAGATAAGGACAATAGTCCGAATAATGTAAGTAGTGTACATAATACCTCCTCTCAAAAATATAGACAGATAAATAGGTATTGTTGGTAATTTTTTATACAAAATATTATTGCTGGTATTTTTACTATAAAATGTGTTTTTATGCTTTCTTAGTGTTTTGTTTGGGGGTTCACCATAGCTTGGTCCCCAACAGGTGCTGCCACCCCGGGTCAGGCTAGGGATGAGAACAACAGCGATTCTCATCTAAATCTCCAATCTCCCAATCAGAGGACTTACTGCCGAATGTTGTTTATCGTCAAGACATTCTTTTAGTGTTAAAACAATGTTAGGATTTCATAAAAAACAAATTATTGTCTCAGTTTGGTCTAATAATGTTGACGTTTGAAAAATTTCGTAATTAACCTTTGGTAATCAACGTGTTGAATAATCAACAAAGGGTTTATAAACCGTAAAATATCAAATCAATCAATAAAAACGTACACAGCCTCATAATCGGCATTTCTTACCTCTTTTTCTTGAGTTGCTCTTGACCCTCGTATTGCGTCAGCAATGAATAAAAAAATGGGGGAAGAGTAAAAGGCTCGTTTTGAAATGGAATTTAGTTTACCGATTAATTTCCCAGAGCAATAAGAGCTACGATACACGCCCATCTCATTAAGCTGAAAGCAGTTCATCGTCTTTGTGTTGTGCCGCTTCATGACAATAGTTATCATAGCTCTCCACAATTACCTGTCCTTTGTAGCTCTTAATAAATTTTGTCTTATAGTTATCTCCCTTAAAACTTGTTAAGTCATCCATTTTCTCAAACACGCAAAGTAGATCATGTGCTGTTCTCTGTCCCTCTTGCCTTTAATCTGATCTGTGAGTATCAAATTCTCCAAGCCCTCTTTCCTCATTACGTGCCTTAGAATTTTCAACCGACTCTTTCAGTTTTCGTCGTTACCCACATGTTATGTCCCTGGTATTCTCAGCATCCTTCTGTAGAACAACATTTCTGCTGCTTCAGTCTCTTCTTCATCTGTGAATAGATTCTCCAACATTTATTGCTATATAGGAGAACCGATATTACATAACTGTTCAGTGCTCTGTTTGCAATTAACGAAATTTTTACGTTTCTTAATACTTTGCTTAGCTATAGGAAGACACCTTTTCATTATACCAATGTAACTTGCAGTTTTAATTAATATTGCGATATGGAAAGCAATTTAACGGCTTCCATTGAAATACTTTAAGCTTGATGCAAGCAGACATTAGGGGGAGCTGTCAGTGAGGGTCAAACTCATTACGCAAACGAATTTTACTGGCGAATAAATCACCAAAAAAACAAAACAAAAAAAACATGTGAAGACGACATTGTCTTTGCGTATATACATATTCAAAGATATATTCAGATGTATGCGTCAAACTTGAAAATTTACGTGTTTATATGCATGTGTCTGTGTGTATGTGATGTACGTATGTCCTTGCAATGTGCTAGTTCAATCTTCTCTGGGTACACTACTTCAAGAGTCCTGGCAGTGGTTGATTCCAGACAAAACACAACCGAGTGGTATATGTTACCGTGTGCGCCGGCAATAATTACTAAATTACAAAGCAACCAATATGAACACACACACACACACACATATATATATATATATATACGCTTTCACACAATGTCTGTGTATGTTTGTGTGTGTGTCTCTCTCTCTCTCTCTCTATATATATATATATATATATATATACACACAAAAATCACATATATATACACAACACATAGCATGCGTATACGTGCTTATGTGTGGCTGTCTCTGTATGTGTTTGTGTGTGCCTGTACGTGTGTGTCTGCGTGTTTATATGCGTGTGTGCGTGTATCAATCTTTCTTTATGTTCAATATATATATATATATATATATATATATATATATATATAGATATGTAGAAAAAAAAAGGAAAGAACATGTTAGATAAATAATACGGAGTTCTTTAGTATTTTTGTTTTTATTTATAAAAAAAAAAACAGTGCTCCATACTGAAGTAGAGCTTAAGTTATATTGAGGTTTTCGGCTCTCGTTTTTGAAACATGAGAACTCTTATGCAACGAAAGAATCAATTTTTTTTTAAATAATTATAATATGTATATATATATATATATATATATATATATATATATATATATACCTCCAAAAATTTGCTAAATATGAACTTACGATGAGGTTATTATTATGGAAGAGCAAAGTACATTTTTTATTACTAGAATTGTTTTTGCAACATGCTGACGCGTGTTAATATCCTGACATTATTTGGTCTTGTTGAAGTTATCACTAACATTCTTTGTCGAGAGTTGCAGACTTTACTCTGCCTACTGTGTTTATATTTACATTACTGCTAGTGTGCATTATATTTTACCAGAATTAAATATTCATAAAACTAAAGAATAGATATGCAAAAACTTTATTGCATGTTTTTAATTTGTTATTTTAATCATTAATTTTTTTTAAATAATGGGAGTATTTTGTATGTTAAATAATAAAAAAAATTTTTTTTCTAAAAACATTCATGAAAATTTTTGTACTAAGCTACGAATCCTAATAAAACCAACTGTACTTTGTACTACTTTATATGTTTGTACTTCGCCCCACTTCGATCGGTCAATGTATTGCCATTTTAGAGAATGTGACGGACGGTCTAAGAAAAGTCACTGAATTTTATATATAGATTTAATTAATTTTTTTCTTTAATCCTTTCTAGTACATTCGAAATATTGGTTAAAAATCCTGTTTTTCTTGTCTCAGTAAGTGGATAGCCAGTAAGGGTCATTTAGCGTCTTTTTTGCGATAAAATAAACATTGTTCTGGAAATTCTTGTAAAAGTTAAATAATTGTTGGATTTTAATGAAATTTTCAGAACTTATTCACAAAACAAGGAAATTATTTTTTATTTGTTTTTAGAAAATCTTGATAAAAGTAATTTTTTAGATCTGTTTCTCACACTTATGAAATTTCGAGCAATAAAAATTCCACCTTCTTCGTGTTTATATTAGTTAAAAGCAGAACTCCTTGGAGAGATTAAATCGTCAATTTGTTTTTGTAAAATAGAAACACCATTTACGGAAAATCTGCTCTGAATCTTAAAAGAAAT